TCCTTGTCTATTTTAAGGACTTCTTTCCAGGACCCCCCTGGAAATGTTCCAGGCCAGGTTGGACGGGGCTCTGAGCAACCCGATCTAGTTGGAGATGTCCCTGCTCACTGCAGCAGGGCTGGGTTAGGTGACCTCCAAAGGTCCCTTCCAACCCAAAGCATTCTATGATTCTTATTTGAAGAGATTTGGGATAATGAAGCGGTCACGGTTGCGTCTCACGAGCAGGCATACCCTGCTCTCCTGCAAATTGCAGTGAGTGACTGGGGGCTGTCTGAAGTGGGCAGGGACCCCGTTTTGGGCTGGTGAAGCACGAGAGCAAGAGGTTGCAAAGGTTTTGTGCCATTTCTTTGTTGTTCTTGGTCTGACGCGTGCAAGTCCAAGTGTGTAGATCCAGGATGAATCAATACGTACCGAAAGACGGAGGTGGCTGTGGACATGTGGAACAGGAGGAGAGGGGGAAGGCTTCACCTTCCAGCTGTCACTTGAAGACTGAGAACCTGAGGATGCTTTTCATGGAGGTTCAACCCTCTTATAAAAAAAAGAAATCATTTAGCCTTCTGTCTGTTTTTAATTCGACAATGTGTAACTTCTGAGATTAACTTAGAAATCATGAATAAATACTTTTTAGATTTCACGTCTCTCCCGTTTTGAGTGGTCAGGAAACGGTGCGATCACAAGCACGCAGATGGAGACCTTCTTTTCGCAGGAGCTGAAATGGTCAGGTATTAATGAGACTGCAGCAGTTGAGCTTTTTTTAGAAAAATACCAGTTATTGCAGACGTTGTGATTAAGGTCAAGAGAGTTCCCAGCACATTAAACAAAGACAGACTGGAGCACTCCAGTTGTCCAAGGTCTCTTATTCTCACCACAGCTACACAAACAAACTGTCAGTCAGGAAGCATCTCCTTGCTGACTATTATACTGACTCTCACTTGTTTATTTGCTTTTCTGGGTCACCAGCCTTGGTTTGGAAAAAAACAAATCCCACCACCTCATTTCTACCTACTCCCGCACTGCTTTAGAAAATGAATGTTATTTGGCGTGTTTCCCTTCAGAGGAAGCTGGTGTTCATCACAGCAGCTGCGTTGTGCTTGGTCTTTTTTTCTGAGGTGTGTCTAGATACCTGCATACATATTCAACTTGGACATTTCTAATTCTGCCTTCACAGGAATTTTTATGACATTTTTTTTCCCCCCTGGTCTATACCGTCTGGAGAACTTGTCACAAGTTGAAACCAAATCGATTGTGTAGGCGTGTGTGCTTGTACGAGGGACAGAGAAGGGGAACAAATTGAACAGCTGGAAAAGAGCAGCCAGTGAAGGGGACCTGTGCAACGTCAGCGTACGATGGGACGCGGTGACAGGTCGGGCTGGCCCCGTTTTTCATCTGAACGAAGAAAGCTCGTGGTGCCACGCAACCTCTGCGCAGCAGGAGCTAGGCAGGGTTGGTCTGGGCTTTGTTGTTGGGACCTTTCCTTCTGACCTGGGACTCAGCTTTCCATGCGTGTGCTGCTGGGAACTGCACTGTGAGGGATTCTTTTGTGCAATATTTACTGGGTATAATCACAAGAGAAATTCTTCTAAAAGGCCGCAAACAAAATAAATGCCAAGTATGTATTACTCTGATGTCTTGTCTGGTATTAAATCCTTGGAGGCGTATTTCAGAAGTAGCTGTAATGAATATTCCTGCAGCGGAGAGGGAGGTGACATTTCGTAATTACGCAATGTCTTCTGAACCGTAAGACTTTAATATTTAAAGAAGCAAGAATATTTTTTATTTTGCTTTATTCGTTTGATCGCCTGTTAAAATAGTGTATTCTTTGGCCATGATAATACACAGGGGAGCATTTTTTCTTTTCTGTATTGCCTCCCCAAACCTAATGGATATGGAACAGTGGCACAGAGACTGAAATGAAGGATACCTCAAATGTAATTCGAAGTTATATGAATATAATATGAAGGAAAATGTAATATTAATGTAATATGGATTTAAAAGGCAGAAGGATGTTGGCATAATGTTGCTGACTCTTCTAATTTTATCAGTAGTCTCATGATCTACGCTGAACCTTGTTCTACCTTTCTGCTTGGCAGCTCTGCGTTAGCATTTCGGTATTGTATGATTTCGGTGTTGTATGATTTGTGTTGTGGGAGATCATAAAAGCCCCAGTCGTGGCCCGGAGCCCCGTTGCATGGTGGCACAGCGAGGAGGACGCTCCATGTCTCCGGACATCGAACTCTGGGGGCATGTGGAGGGGGAGCAGCTCTCCTTGCACAGGGAAAACCGCAGTACACCGAACATTAGTGCTGCTGTTCTACTTAAAAGAAATAATAAAAGCCAAGAATTAACAGTATTTTTTAAGGTCAGAGTGTGACACATGGGGCAGGCTCCTGAACAAGGACATCTCTTTCTTTGCAGGAGGGATAGCATGGTCCATGGGAAGAGCAGCCTGGATCTATGGTACAGCAGGGATGGATAGGTTTGATTTGTTTCTTCTAGGCAGTAAATAGCAGCTTTACCCTTGCAAAGCGCCAGCTCTGTAATCGTGAGGAGACTGCTGGGGCTGCAAAAGCTTTCTTCTGAGCAGCAGGAGAGCAAAGTGGAGGCAGCTCCTGTGTAGGGAGGCCGGTGGGATACACTTGTCTGACTAAATGTGTCCATGGGCTGAGCGTTGTGTATCTGTCCAGCCGTTGCGTTGTACTTGGAAGTAACTGATGCTAGGGAGCAATTTTTGGTGGCCTCACAAAACTGCCAAGAGCAGGGACGCGTTGGTCTTTAACCTGCGTTCAGCTTTGCTCGACAGAAGCTGCCCGCGGAAGAGTGGAGAGGGCGAACAGATGGGTCTTTGACACTCGGTGCGTGTGGCTTGAGGAGCAGAGCTTGCTGGGGGCCTTGCTGGAGCTCACTGCTGGAGCTGCCGGGCCACCCCTGCCCGATGAGCTGCTGTGAGCTCGGGGGGACGACCTTCTGCCCGTTTGGCTCGTCTTGAGTGACCCCACCAAGCTGGTGTCTCTGCTGATCTGCTGACCTTAGAGATCTGTATCACCTTGTACCGTTAGACTTGTGAGCGTACTGGTATTGCTGGAAATATCCATTCCCTCCATGAGCTCCTCTGCCTGTGCCGGCGCTCTGCAGAGCGGCTCCGCCGAGGACAGAGTTCTTCAACACTTGCTGAGGAGGTTAACCTAGGCCAAGCACACTGAGAAATGGCCTAAATATAGTCGGCTGAGATGGACGGGGGCAACGCAAGGTAGCTGGGAATATCAGGCTTAGTCATTACAGCCTGAAATAATTATTCTCTTCCTATTCATTTAGTTGACCTGACACTGTCCTGCTCAGGGTCCCTTGCTCGAGTCTCATTTTCTTCAGCCTCTGGAGAGCGAGGGTCAGAAGTATGAATTATTAGCAGGCTCATATCAATTCCAGGTATTGTGCAGCACTTGATAACACAACGGGCTGTGTTAGCTGGGAGCTGTCAGTGAGTCGGACCAGTAACAGCACAGTGATGTGGGAGTTCTGCAGGGGTGCCAGAGCGATGCACCCCAGGAATCCCACGTGTGTTTGGCACGGGTGTTAGCTGAGCAAGTGCAAATTGGCCAAAGAACGGGTAGGTTGGTGTGAGAGGGAGGCAACGGGCAGCACAGAGCCCGGAAAACAGAGCTGTGATGTTGGGGAGGTGGTTTCCGCCGTTCCACAGGTCGTGGGGAGAACGTGCGGGTGTTGAGATCGGATATTAGGAAAAATTTCTTTACTAAAAGAGCTGTGAAGCTTTGGACCACGCTGCCCAGGGGAGTGGTGGAGTCCCCATCCCTGGAGGGGTTCAAAAGCTGTGTAGATGTGGCACTTGGGGACATGGTTTAGCAGGCATGGTGGGGTTGGACTGACGGTTGGACTTGGTGATCTTCGAGGTCTTTTCCAACCTTAATGATTCAATGATTCTGTGTTATCCCAGCAGCATGGGGCTTTTGTCTGTGGGAAACGGGGCCGGGAGCTCGATGGCTTCGAGTCCTGTTGGGCTCAGCTCTAATTGTTCTGCTTGCTGGGTATGATTTAAGACTTGATCAGGACTTTCAGGAGTATCCTTACTGAGCAGGGGCAGCGCATGCTTGAGCAGAGAGGGTGAAATACTGGGTCTCTAAAACTCACCAGAATTGCATTTTATCTCTTCTGCTGTTTAGTTTGTGTTACTTTACTTGGCAGTAGGACTGCAACTTGACTTTCTTATCCTATCGATGCACTCTGTGTAAATTTGAATAGTTGCGAATTTTGTGGTTCAGAAATAAATTGTAGAGCCAGGAACCTGCTTTGGAGACTTGCCGAAACAGAGCTGTAATTTGTACGTGTGGTGTTAGCAACAACACGGTGGTTTGCCTACATGTACAACGTGTAAAGCAGCGTATCTTCACGCAGTTCAGGTTGCACCTACAAGAAAATTAAAGCAAGGGTTCCGCTTGAACTCAACCTCTGGTGCAGATCCCGATCCCTCTGACGGCAACAGGGGTTTGGTATCGACTTTGCAAGGAAGCAGCATCAGTCCCACTGTTTCTCCTGCTTAATTTTAATGGTTTAATTAAGGCTTCTCATTTGCATAATGAGCGCGATAATACATTTAGAAAGATACATATAATCAAAAAAAGAACAATAATGCAGAGTTCATTTGGAAGCGGAAGCAAAAATAACTGGAATGCAAATGAGCCTGCAAAGGTTCCGTTCAGGGGATTGCTGGGTGTTCATAAATACCGTGGCAGTCTCCTTGGTGCCAAATACGCACGTGCCGAGCAAGCAGAGGTATCCTCTGTGGTCAAAATAGTCTGCCCAGGGCAGTGGGGGAGTCCCCGTGCCTGGAGGGGATCAGAAACTGTGTGGATGTGGCACTTGGGGACATGGTTTGGCAGGCACGGTGGGGTTGGGGTGACGATTGGACTTGATGATCTTGGAGGGCTTTTCTAACCTTAATGATTGTGTGATTCTATCATACTGAGCTCCAGCCTTGGTCATCCCAGCTAGGGGTGTGCAGGGGTCTCAGGCTGCTGCGGTGGAGAGAGGGGTCTGGGTGCAGCCTGGGGGTGCAGGCGACGACGCTCACTTGGTTTCTCTCTCTGGGTCTTGCAGCCCCCCCCACCGTGCGGATCGTGCATTCGGGCCTGGCGTGCAACATCGAGGAGGAGCGCTACTCGGAGAGGGTCTACACCATCCGTGAGGGCGAGACGCTGGAGCTGACCTGCCTGGTCACCGGCCATCCTCGGCCACAGGTGAGCCCCCGCCATGCTCGGTGGGGTTAAAATACAGAATCACAGAATCACAGAATAGTAGGGGTTGGAAGGGACCTCTGTGGGTCATCTAGTCCAACCCTCCTACAGGGTCACCCAGAGCAGGCTGCACAGGACCTTGTCCAGGCGGGTCTGGAATATCTCCAGAGAAGGAGACTCCACAACCTCCCTGGGCAGCCTGTTCCAGTGCTCCGTCACCCTCAGAGGGCAGAAGTTCTTCCTCATCTTCAGCTGGAACTTCCTGTGCCTCAGTTTGTGCCCATTGCCCCTTGTCCTGTCACTGGGCACCACTGAAAAGAGCTTGGCCCCATCCTCCTGACACCCACCCTTCAGATATTTGTAGGCATTTATAAGGTCCCCTCGCAGCCTTCTCTTCTTCAGGCTGAACAAGCCCAAAATCAGCAAGTCTGCCACATGGGGTCCCGATGTGAGGGTTTGAGATATCTGGAGGTTGGTAGAAGCAAAGTAAAACCAGATGTGAGGACAGGGACAACTGGAAGTAGACAGTATGCACCAGAGTGAACAGCCGGAGGTGGCGCACACGAGAGCTCGGGGGAGGCTTGCTGTGCGCGCCGGGGTCTTGGATGTCCCTGGACCCATGGCATTGCAGCCTTGCAGAAACAGAAGTTAAACAGAAACAAGCTGCCTTTTTCCAGGACTAGCTCTGTTTTATAGCGTCACACTCAAAGCCAGAGAGCCTTGTCAGCCTGTGCTACAGCTGCTCGGGTGTGTGTGTCCCCATCACCACCCTCCTTTGCCTAGGGTTCACAGAATCACAGAATAGTAGGGGTTGGAAGGGACCTCTGTGGGTCATCTAGTCCAACCCTCCTACAGGGTCACCCAGAGCAGGCTGCACAGGACCTTGTCCAGGCGGGTCTTGAATATCTCCAGAGAAGGAGACTCCACAACCTCCCTGGGCAGCTTGGGCCAGGGCTCCGTCACCCTCACAGGGAAGAAGTTCTTCCTCATGTTCAGACGGAACTTCCTGTGCCTCAGTTTGTGCCCATTGCCCCTTGTCCTGGTTCCCCGTTGAGAGGTTATTTTAGATCAGGACCTTTCAAGACCTGTGCAGGTGTAACACTTTATTCCTCCCTCCCCGCTCTGCTTTTCCATTTCCAGCTTTTCCTTTGCCCTTTGAACCAAACTTGCTCTCTGTTCCCTCAAAGTGGCCGCTTTGTCTTCTGCTGCGTCCCCTCACCTTGCTCTGTTGGTGAGCACGCTGAGAGCTGAGGGTGCGTCGGCGATTAGCTGAGATGACCAGGTCTCACAGCGCAAATATTTGCATGAGAGTTTCTGAACACTAGAATTCCTCGCGAGGGTTTTCTTTGCGAGGTGGTGGGTCCAGCACCTCTCTTGTAACTGGGAGCTGTGAAGTGCAGCTGGGGCAAGGGTGTTCACTGGGACACCTCGAGTCTGCAGACCGGCGATGTTCCTCCAGGAAGGAGGGATGTGCTGGTTCTCTGCCGGTTATTCCGTAGCTGTTCCCAGTTTAATGAGGAGATTTAAAAATCAAGAAGCTGACGTTTCGCCTGTGCTGGTTCCAGGGAAGGCAGAGATCAGGTTGGGTCTCAGAAAACGCAGCTTTAATTGCCCTGCAGACGGTTGCACTCTCTCAGCTACAGACACACGTTAAAGCTGTGTTATAAAGCAAGCCATTTTTCTTTTAAATTAAGCGATCTCTGTCTAGCCTTTGCCAGGTGGAAGAGAAAAAAACAAGCCTAAAAAAGAAATTATACTGGGCCAAGCATCCCGATGTTTTGATAACACCCCAAATGAGGACAGTGCTGTTTGTAATCAGTGATGTTGGTATGAAGTTTAATATTTGGTGCCTCACAAGGTATGAAAATTGTTGATTGCCCTGCTATCGTATTGCGTTCTCTCCCATTGCCGGTTGTCCTCTTGGCCTCAACGGTGCCCACGCCGTGGGAGGTCGGTGGCTCCTGGAAAGGTGTCGGGGGGATGCGGGGAAGGTGCTGGTGGCTCCTTGTTGGAAGAGCCAAGTGAGAGACCCTGGGCTGATATGGACCTCGCTCTCGAAAGCTGGTAATCATGTTTTAACATAGCAGGGACTGCCGCAGGAAGGGAGGAGCTCCTGCCTTGAGGACACGCTGCCGCTTTTTGAGGGATCTATTGAGGCATAAGGGGCTGTCCCATGTGGGTGGGATGGGATCTGCCCCGGGCTGGCTCCCTGCTCCAGCCGCCCCTCGAAACAAGGCCGTGTCTCTCCGTGACTTTTAGCGATGTTGGATTCATTCCGCCTTCCCAAACTTTTCTTTACGAGGCTGATTTGATAACTTCTGAAGATCCAAAGCAGCTGGCTCTGGATGCAGCAGTTTTTGGCACGCCGTGTGTTTGGGTGGGGGTAAAAAGCACATTTGTGTGCAGGCGGGAAAGAGCGGGATAAAGGTAGACGAAAGGTCCAGTGTGCTTCCTCGGAGGACGTTTCTTTCTCAGCCCATCTCCTCCATCTGCTCCTGAGGGGTTTGCTGCAGCCGAAATCAAAGAGCCCTCGCGGACCCACAGAATCACAGAATCACAGAATAGTAGGGGTTGGAAGGGACCTCTGTGGGTCATCTAGTCCAACCCCCCTGCCCAAGCAGGGTCACCTACAGCAGGCTGCACAGGACCTTGTCCAGGCGGGTCTTGAATATCTCCAGAGAAGGAGACTCCACAACCTCCCTGGGCAGCCTGTTCCAGTGCTCCGTCACCCTCAGAGGGAAGAAGTTCTTCCTCATGTTCAGACGGAACTTCCTGTGCTTCAGTTTGTGCCCATTGCCCCTTGTCCTGTCACTGGGCATTGCTGAAAAGAGCTTGGCCCCATCCTCCTGACACCCACCCTTCAGATATTTGTAGGCATTTATAAGGTCCCCTCGCAGCCTTCTCTTCTTCAGGCTGAACAAGCCCAGTTCCCTCAACCTCTCCTCGTAGTGGAGATGCTCCAGTCCCCTCACCATCCTTGTAGCCCTCCGCTGGACTCTCTCCAGTAGCTCTTCATCCTTGACCCGCCTGGCTGGAGGCAGCCTCAGAGCGCGCGGGGCTGTTATCCGTCGGGAAGAGCCTGGGATCAGCGCTGAAAGGTGCCATCTCGGGCACTGACAGAGCTTATGATGCTGCTGAAGCAAAAAAAAAAAAAGCAGTTCAACCACAGCATCTTGTCAAGAGAGCAACCACACCGTTGCTTTTTTTCATAAAAAAAATCTGTATTTTCTCATCTGGGATTCAGGCTAGAAAATTGATTTCTCTTCGTTTTGCCTGTTTATAGTTTTTCCTTGTCAGCCAGCACCCCGGTCTGCTCTCTCGCGCTCGCTCTCACGTTACCGCTCTCTGAGACGCGCAATATTTTTTGCAGATTAATTGCCCGAGAGCAGGGGTGTAGTTTTGGTGGTCTCAGATGGGTGATTCTGCAGCGGAATACAGGAGGCTTGGCGGGGCTGCTGCTGAACATCAGCCTTTTTATCACCTTCCTATTAAATTGCCATTCAGTTTTAGTGCTCCAGAAAGTTAAAAAAAAGGAAAAAAAAAAAGAGACTAAGCCACCATAGCATTCTGCATCGCCGTATTTAAAGTTCGGAGCCGCAAACCCTCAGGCTGGTGTCCCGTGATTTTTTTTCTTTCTTTATTTCTATTTATTTCTTGTTGGATACGTTCCCTCCTTCTTCCTCCTTCTTCCTCCTTCTTCCTCCTTCTTCCTCCTTCTTCCTCCTTCTTCCTCTTGTTGGATACGTTCTTTATTTTTCTTTCTTTATTTCTTTATGTATTTCTCTTTATTTTGCTTGTGGGATAAGTTCTTTATTTTTCTTTATTTATTTCTCTTTATTTCACTTGTTGGATATGTTCTTTATTTTTCTTTATTTCTTTATGTATTTCTCTTTATTTTGCTTGTGGGATAAGTTCTTTATTTTTCTTTCTTTATTTTATTTATTTATTTCTCTTTATTTCGCCTGTTGGATACGTTCTGCTTTCTGATTCTTCTCCCTGGGCCCTGCTGGGAGGTCTGCAGTGTTTCTGCTGTGACCGAGAGGCAGCGGCGGGGGGGAGGGGGGGGGGGGGGGTAAGCCTTCCTTTTTTATATGTACAGAATCTACACAAGAAACTTGATCATATGTTGTTGTTGGATTCTCACGTTCCGACAGCCTTCAATATGAGGTGGGTTTGAGGGGAAGTGTCTGGCAGAATCCTTCCTGTTCTCCGTGAAGATGGAAGTGGTGAAAATACATTTTTGTTTTTTCTTTTTTTCTGCACGAGACTTGCATCCAAGTTTTGCGGTAATTGCCAGCCTTTTCAGTACTTCATTTTTTTTTTTAACCGATTTTTGCAAGGAAGGTTATCATATTTGGTTTGCAAATTTTATGGAAATTATTTTCAAAATGATATTTTATCAGACCCTGGGAAGTGAGTTTATAAAATACGTAATTATGTGTCTGTTCTAAGAATGCTGTTCAACGTGCGTGTGTTTCTCAAAGTTTTTCAATCATTACTGGCATGCAGAGAAACTCCTTCTGTTTGAAACACTGGAAGAAGTCAGCAACCCTGCACCAGGCATTTATAAAATCCCTCTTTGGTGTTCACTATAACCCCCATCCCAGTCAGGAGTGGGCAGAAAATTCACGTTAACTAAGGAGAAAATGAAGGGGTGAGTGTGTGCTGTGAGCCAGCTGATGGGACCATACGTCCTGCATCCTTCCTCCCAGTCACAGAATCACAGAATGTTCGGGGTTGGAAGGGACCTCTGTGGGTCACCCAGTCCAACCCTCTGCCCAAGCAGGGTCACCCAGAGCAGGCTGCACAGCACCGCGGCCAGGCGGGGCTGGAATATCTCCAGAGAAGGAGACTCCACAGCCTCCCTGGGCAGCCTGGGCCAGGGCTCTGTCACCCTCAGAGGGAAGAAGTTCTTCCTCATCTTCAGCTGGAACTTCCTCTGCTTCAGTTTGTGCCCGTTGCCCCTTGTCCTGTCGCTGGGCACCACTGAAAAGAGCTTGGCC